GCCAGTCTGGGCAGTATCAACACTGCTACTACACGAGTGGTCGCTTGGGGGCGCTGTGGATCCACAGAGTGAGCCACTGATGGCACCCTGTGGGAGACAGAGCCTTGACTTGGTCCCTATGTCAGGGAGACTATCTGATAAATCAGATGAATCAGAGGTTTGCTGATCATATCTTCTCACATTTACTGCTATGCAAGAATGTTGGTCACATCAGAGAGCCATGAACCAGTTCCTACGTGTAGTTAAGGCCTCTCCTGGAGCCTATGTTTGGTGGAGAGGGAGATGGAGCTTCCTTTAGTGGGCAGCCTAGATAATTCAAACCAGGTATAGAGCAAAGAAACTCTGGGGATGGTCACCTGCCACAAACCCTGTCTGGTCCAGCTCAGCACAGCCAGCAGCACCTGTTCATAGGAAGATGGACAGATGGGGAATAACTGCACCAGCTGAGTCTGTCCAGGAAGTGCAGGTTGCCTGTGGAGCCTACAAGGACAGTGGCATCAGAATAGTGACATCACAGACAACCCCTCCAAACAGAGCAAAGGGAGGTGCAAAAGCCTCTGCTCTCTCACCCCAAACACCAGAGCCCAGGGCAGGGAGATGGCCCGTCTTGCCCTTTCTGACTCTCCCAGTGGCCCTTGGCTCCTCTGCTGTGTGGCCCTCTGTCTCCCGGGGGCAGGTGAGTCCTGAGTTCAGGTGGGACAACCCTTGAATCTAAAGTTCTTAACTGTTACGGAGTATCCATGTCCTTCCTGTGCTGGTCTCCAGCTTCTGTCTGCTTCCTCCACAGGTTCAGTGGCTGCTGGCGTCACTCAGTCCCCAAGACACCTAATCAAAAGTCGTGAGGGGAAGGCCGTTCTGAAGTGCCATCCTATCTCTGGACACGATACTGTGTACTGGTACCAGCAGGCTCTGGGACAGGGCCCCCAGTTCCTCATTAGTTTTTATGAAAAGGATGAGAGAGAGAAAGGAAACATCCCAGATCGGTTCTCAGGAAAACAGTTCAGTAACTACAGCTCTGAGCTGGCCATGAACGCCTTGCAGCTGGGAGACTCAGCCGTGTATCTCTGTGCCAGCAGCTTAGACACAGCCCTGCAGGGTCAATGGCTTTCTGTGCTCAAACCTCCCTGCCCCAGCTGAGGATGTCACAGGAGAAGGTGGGGGTCCTGGC